ATAGAATTCTTTTTTTTTTTGCTAGTTGACATAGGGAATAGACATTTATGATATTAACTGGAATTTTTCCATCACCCCAAACCCCTTCAATGCCTATAAAGTCCTTTCCTTCCAAGACTCTACCCATACTGATTTTTTTAGAATTCCATATACATAGCATTCCTCTAGACAAACCCTTTGCATCCCTGGCAACTCATTCTAAATCATCTGATTCCTATATCATTCTACAAGTTCTTTTATCTACCCTTCCCATCTTAGTTTCTTATACTGTTAGAAAATCCACTTTTTCCTTATTTAATTCCTTCAAATGCCTTTTCTTCCTAACACCCCCCAACCCTCTAATATTATAAGACATAAAATTCATGAGGCATCAACACTAACCTTCTTATTCCCGCTCCCTCTCTTGGAGTCTTATCATAACTCAAATTTTAGTAGAATTTTATTTTATTTTTATTTTTATTTTAACTAATGTGTTTTTTCTTTGTTTTACTTGTTAGGTTTATTCAAAAAATGGGGGAGGCAAAAAAAGGAAATTTTACAAAGAAGATTGGAAAAGAAGATGAGAGAAAGGACTCAATTGAAGAAATAGGAAGTTGGAGGAGTGAAATGCAAAGTCCAGCCCAAAACCCATCAAAACCAAACCAAAACCCAAATTCAAATCCAATTACCCAAAAAACCCAAAGCTCACCAACTACCCAAACCCAATTACCCAAAAAGCCCAAAACACTAAACCCATTTAACTTAAACAAACCCAAAAAGCTCTGCCGTGGGTGTTTTTCTTATTTTGGTGAATATTTCTGCATCTTTTTGTTTAATGTTCAAGCTTGTACATGTTCCGTTTGAAATTGAATGAAAAATCAAAAAAAAATTTGTTCAGTTCATTTTGTCTGATGAATGTGCTTTCCTTTTTGTTTTCGTTGATGAATGTGTTATTTCTTTTGAAAATGACGAACCGTAATTTTACTCTCTTTTTTTTTTATGTTCGATCTGTTTTTGCCTGTTTTAGTTGATGGGTTGTGTTTTTGTGGGTCGGGTCAACCCGACCCAACCTTAAAAAAAACTAAAAAATGTTAAAAAATATATATAAGTTTATATTAATTAATTCGGTGAGTTAATTTAATTTATGATTAATGAAGTTAATTAATTTTAATCAAAACAAATTAATCATATTTATGAAAATTTAATTTGAGATAATTAGATTTATTTGATTATCTTAATTAAAGATGAGTAAATGTGATTAATTAATT